TAACACTTTTCTTTGGACGGCAATCTTGGGACAAACGGCAAAGTTGTTCCTAATGATTTTCTAGTAGCACTGGTCAAGTTGCTGACAACCGTTGCTTTCAGAGCCTTTGAGGCCAAACACCTAACACGAGAGCGGGTATACTGAAATCATTTCCTCAGCTTCACTGCCATTACATAAACGGTCACAGTGACTTGTTGAACACCTGTATGATTACTCTTTTGAGACTTGCTCCTATGACGAAACCTTACGAGGAACAATTCTTTATAATCCCACTTTATCAAATGATTACAAGAACAAACGTTTCCTTTTTTTGGGAAATGACAAAAGTAACAGCAACGCATGAGCATAAAAACTGTCCAAGTGAAAACGACCCAACTGTTGATACAGTTGTTGGCTAAAATTTACCTGTGCTACCCTAAAAGTGGTTGCCAGGGAGGAGGTCAAACCACAGCAGTCATGAGAGCGGTGAGCTGTACGTGCTGCCTTGAAACAAAGCACAGCGCCGAACACTCAGCCAGTTCCACTGGGCCAACTGGTCCCTTACCACTCCAGCCACAAGTCAGTTTACTAAGCCAGATTTAGTTACCGCTGATGTGACAGGAAGACAGGGACTTTTCCCATTGCTTTCATTAGGAACTAGGATTTCGACTTTCTAGCCCAGGTTTTCTAATGTTACTTTCTTTTTAATTCCTGCAGCTGCCAACAGGAGGTCCGCAGAAATCTCCTGCCCTCCAAAGTCCATCTCTGAGGCAGAGTTATCAAAAAAGAAGAACGTCAAGAAGACTAAAGGTGGAATTAAGGTAGGAATATTTTTGGTTTGGGGATATTCTGTATTGTGAAAGAAAGCAAAAACGATTAATTGTAGGTTTACATATTTATACTTATATAAATAAAAACAATTTACCTGTTAATATCTGCAAAGTGTTTTTCACACTTCATGTTACAGTCTGAAAGTTAGTCAGACAATAGTGTTAAAACACTTTAGGTTCACATAAGTGGAAAAACAAGTTACACTAAAGGAGAAATCACTTTCAAAAGATGAAAGGGGAAATGTGGAGAGAACGTCCAACTATAATATATTAAAGCGGATGCAGAATGTCCCTCCTTCGTCAAAACGTATGAATTATTTTGTTCCCAAAACAGGAATCATTTTCCAACTCATAAGTTGTGTTATGTGCAGGATTTTACAACGTTATATGTTTTTTCCTTTTTAAAGTATTTTTTTCAAGGATGATTTCTACCCACAGGAGGAAAGGCTGCTCATTTAATACTTGAAAACGAACCAGCAAACAAAAAACTCCCAAGAACGAAAATTCCACTGTTGCCTATTTGCTGCATGGGCAAAAAAAGTTTAGGGAAATGCCCTTTGCTTTTGGGTCTCTAGGATGAGACTTGTTGTATAATGTTTTTTCTGCGGCAAACTTCTGTTCGTGACTTTTTGGCCATCCTCGTTCACCCCCCCCACCCCAACCTGACGGCATTCAGGAGCACTGCCCTAACAGCAGAGCCTGCTGTCTGAGTTGTTGACAGTGACTGGGATAACATAGCGAGGCCGTCATTTAACACTCCTTATGTATTTTAAAACTGGAAAGTGAAGGATCCAAGACTTCACTCGTCTGTAATTCTTGTAAATAAGATGAAGTTCAGCTGCCTCCTGAAACACTTCACTGGCCCAAGCTAGCTGAAATAGCCACTTTCAAACAAAGACAATTTTTTTCTGTCAAATTCAGGTAACGCCTCATTTGTACTTCTTATTTAAAATGTTTGTTTTCAGACCAGGTAAATACACTTTTGTAAAGAGGCAGCAGAAACACGACTGAGGTTGTATTCTGAAAGTTTCTGTGCTATAGATGTGTTTCATAACTTTGCCAACATCCACTTTAGTTATAAGTTTACCAAAAATAAGACAAAAGTCAGAACATATGCAGGGCCACTCACAACCTTTTAAATAACAACAACCTTTTAATATACTTTTATCCTGTCTTCTCTTACTCTTGCCTTACCATTCATATTATTAGCTCTGTAGCGCAGCCTATTATTAGAATTGTGAAAAGTGCTCTTTAAAAGTATATTTTGAGAAAGAAAAGAACAAGAGAGGGCCCTAGCAGGGCTGGAGAAAGAAATCCGAATAACTGATATTCAGCAGAGTAGCAAAAGAGGTTGGGTAGCGCAGGAGAGAGATACGCTCTTCATTTGGCTGCAGCCCCTCGGAAAAGCGTAACGCCAGATGCAGTTGGCCCGTTTCACGTTGTTCTTCCACTTCTGCCCCAAAGCGCTGAAGGGAGTAGGCTTTGTCAGTATCTCTCGGGGGAAGGAAATACCCCCGCCTAAAATAGATTCTGTACGCGGGAAAGGAGATGACACACTAGCCACCACAGTTGCAGTTAACTACTGAACTATGACAAAAGTAATTTTAAAGGGTAAAGGTTTTAAAGGTTAAAGTAATTTTAAAGGTTTAAAGGTTTTAAAGGCTGTGCTTTTAAGTCTATTCTTTAAATATCTGAAGCACAGCCTCTGATGATCAGCGTACCACATCCTTTCCTTTTATTTGAACTACGGATTCTTGAACGTTCACCGTTCAGCTGCGCTTTAGCTGTTCCTACCGGCAGCCCCAGCTGGTATTGTCCGTTCCGCGCTCACTGCCAGAGCTAAGGGCTCAAAAAGCTGCCTTTGCTAGCTGACCGAGTGCAGCCCTCTGTGCTGCACATCTAAAACGCACAGCACAGAATTTGTCTGATTCGCCGTCTCGCTCTGGACTAGACCTCTCTGCTGTCTGACTTGGAGACACTGCATCCTTCCTCCAAAGGACAGAGGAATTAATTTGCTTGAATTCAGCCCAATCTATAAATCTCCTGGAAGTAATTTGTCTTCTCCTTTTTCACCTTCATTTGGGTTCCTATACGTCCCAAACCTTTCTTATTTTCTCTGCCCAATAATACGCCTTGGCTTTTTAACATATATTCCTCCCATAAATCTTTCTTTTGGGTAAGAAAGGATATGGGATAAGGAAAAACCACAAAAACACTGTCCTGGTTTCTCATCTCTGTATGAGAACGTATCCAATACAGAGATCACATTTTATGATAATTCTGTGGGTGTTTTCCAGTTTAGTCTACTATTATTAAAGGTATTTCCCAAATAAGTATTTTGGATTTTGTAATTATGAATAGGTAGGTTCACAGAACAACACTCTTACGTTATCACTTCTTACCTAGTCTGTGGTTAAACCAATAACAGCCACACGTTGCTGTACTACTTTGGCCTAAATGTTCTAAAACAGTTAAATCCTGTTGGCACAGACATTTCACATTTATATTAGAACTAGTTGTTTTGGGCAGTTTGTGGGGCTTTTTTTGTTGGGGGGGGGGAGGGGGGAAGGGAGAATGTTACCCTGAGGCACTGAAAGGAAAAATTCATCAAGTCTCTGTCTGGCATGATTCTATGATTCAATTTTACCTTTTGATGTAAGCATTTAGAACAAAAGTGCCAGTGCCTTCAACCTAACCCTTTTGCTAACTGTACCCTTTACTTGCTCACATATTTGACCTTTCTTTCCCCAAAGCTGAAAAGCAAAAATACAATTCAGTATTTTTTGCAATGACCAAAACAGCCTACACAGCTTTAGCAATGTATTATTAGAAACATACAGCTGGTGCCACCTTGGTCTAAACCCACAGGGAAATTTGACTTTGGAACTCGTCTTACTCTCATCAGTAACACAGATGATTGGTTACATCCCTCCCAAGTAATGAGATATATCTAACAATATGGAACAGGCTTTATGAAAATATACATTCATTTGTTTTTAAATCTGTTTTCTAAACTGCTACACAAATTATTCTGTCCCTCCTTTCCACCCCCACTGTGGCTATGAAACATGTGCTTGTATTGTATTTGTTTTGATCACAGCTCAGGTGAGGATAGCTCACTCATGGATTCAATCCTCACTGAACCAGCTAAATAATTTAGCTGCATAAAACATGATCAGGTCACTGATGTTTTCAGAATCAGCCCTTAAAAAATGAAATAGCTCAGAAGCTTTAAGACTGTACTGGACTTTACATTCTGGCTTAGATTAACTGCAAATTCAACGCCTGAGTTGTTTCAATGAATCTGAAGAGAGTGCCTTTGAGTATGCCAAAGTAGTACTCGGGCTCTACAGTTATAGACTAAAGGAGGAAGAGTCAACTTAAAACTTGCCTGGAGCACACTTGAAATGATATATCTCTGCAAGACTAGAGAAGGAAGGAAGTTAATGTTTATCAAAATATTACGTACAAAGCCTCAGTCTGTTTTAGCCTGGAGACTACCCTTGCACACGTGTATGATGCTCAGCATTCAAGTGCATGCTGCGTCTGATGTAACATTACTACGAGTACAACGCAAGACTTTTCTAGGAGGCACAAGACAGATTTCCACAGAATTCAGCATACTGCCCTGTACATAGGACTCTGAAAGTCTGAAGAAATTCTTTGGGTTGGCTTGGCATACTGCCCTGTACATAGGACTCTAGTCTGAAGAAATTCTTTGGGTTGGCTTCAGGCAGAACTAGAGGCAGAAAGATAAAACAGTGTTTCACAGTCTCAGAAACAGACAATTATGGTTATCGCTACCTACACAGAAGGTGAATTTAATTGCCTTATGATGGAAAAAGGTAAGAAAAATTTTGCAAGGCGTCAAGCATGCCTCCCAAGCCAATAGTAAGGGAGGAAACAGAAAAGTAGAGACCAAAGTTTTTCTTCGTTTGCAGCTTGCACATCTAAGAGTCAATTATTTTGTTTAGCTTGTCTGGAGACTTGACTGCTTAGGATCTAGTTTTTTATTCTTTTAAAAAAAATTAACAATCTCTAAGTAAGGACATCAGCAATTAAGCCTTTTTACTTTTAATGTGTGCTTTTCATTCAGATTGAAGTGATGCATGAGGCTAGTCAAGGAGGATCTAGCAGAGTCCTGGTGATGAGTGAAAGTGATGAGAACCTGTCAACAAGGAGGAGGTAAGGACACGCACATGAGCCAATACCCCTTTTCTGTCCTTCTTAGACAGGAACACCAACATTTGCAAAGAAGTGGTTGAGCATGTGCTGAAGTATGCTCTCTAAGATGAACAGATGATAGAGACAATCATGCTTATAACCAGGCATTTATGCACAGCCTATCAGTTAGTAAAGGAAGCAAGATTTACCTTATTTTTCGCCACTCCCCCCACCTTTTGGGGGTTAGAAGCATTAGTAACATGAGGTGAGAAATAAGTCATTAGAAAATTCATTAGAATAAGCCTTGCACATGTAATTCGCCAAGAAGGTAGTATCAAAGATAATCTCACTGTGTTCAGGAAATTCATATTTGACTCTGAGAAACTTCTGCCTGTGAAATGCAAGTGATAATCTTGGTGTCTCTCTTTCCAGAAAGTTTTGAGAAAGAGATATGGAATTAATAATTTATTCTAAAACACTAAACGCCTAAAGTCATTTAAAACACACACACACACACACCCCCCACAATACACACACCAAGCAAATCTAGTCTTAGTTGACCTGCACTGCCTTCTATGCAAGGGGGATTAAAACTAAAACAAGTTAAAAACAAACACACCCCAAAACCCCACAAACCAAACCATGCAACCCTAGCTGATTCCATTTCCTTTGTTTTTTTCTTCAGTAAATTTTGGATAATGAATTTATACTCAAGTTATGCCACTAGTTCATACAGGCATAGACTGAAGTTACTTGATGCAAAAAGTAAGTTTTTTTGAAAACGCTAGTGTAATACACTATGCTAGACAGATCTGAGACATTTCGAAAACGCAACTTACCATGAATTTAGAAAATGCAGCTTACCATGAATTTACTATTTAGTTTTGTAGGTGTTTTCTCTTATACCCTATGAAAAATAACACTGTAATAAAGGTATACTATTACTGGCCACCAAACCATCAGCTAGTTTTCAGTGGGCCAAGTTTGATTTTAAATAGAATTTATTTAGATAGGCAACCATTTCCCCCTAAGATGTGCATCTAAACAGAGCATATGAATTTGGGAGTTTAATATTAACAACATGTTAAGCTTCTAGTATTTGGCAGTTTTTCCTACAACCTTGGACCTGGAAGCTGGGTGGAAATTTTTGTCGTTCTGTCTCCTTTTTCAGAAGCACCGATTTTGCCTTTTGTTCCAGGAAAGGTTTGGTCCAAGTTAACACACAGAGGAGGATTTCAAACCCTATCATAAAAAGGCTTAAAAATATTTAAAGGTTTAAACAAACAAACAAAAAAGGCAGCAGAGCTGCAACTATCAGTTATAAGCAATGCAACAGATTAAAAAAAACAGCAAAAAGCTGGTAAATAAAAAAGTCTGTTTATTCAAAACAAATTTTACAAAACAATTTCTTTTGTGGTACAGAGCAAAGTTTAAGAATAAATATTGAATACTTTTGTATAAAAATTAGTACTATCAAAGGGAAACTGATGCTAACCAAACAGGTAAAAACAATTTTAGCATCAAACATGCTGTGCAACAACATCAAAACTGTTAATGAGGAGTGACCCTTCAGGCTGACAGTTTTTTTTTTTTGTAGAAGTAAAACCTGACAGCCCTGCATTGGAGCACCAACTGCAACTCTTCTTAAAAAAAAAAAAGTTCCAGAAAGAGGTGTACAAATCTTATGTCAGTGTTTATAAACAATAAGAAATTCTCTAGCATCTCCATTCTTTGAAAGGAGTGCCTTCATGCTTTTCTTTGAATTCACTAGCCTGTTCTTCACTGCAGCAAAAGGAAAAGCACACTGCAAATATCAAGGCCCTTCTAAGATAGAGAAACAATCCCCCCCCAAAACCAGCTGCAAAACCAGAGTATTTCAATGGTCAGAAGTGACTTTCATATAACGGCAAACTACATTTAAGCAGTGTTTCAGATGTTAGCTATGTAATTAGCCTACAGAAATTGAAGCATTTGTTTTGCTTGCATGAGTCAAAACCAAAAATCCCAGTACATACTTGTGCTTGAAGGATCGTAGTCTTAGTAGTACACTTCAGATATATACTGCATATGAAGACCTCCTTTGCCTGCAGTGAACAGGGTGGGTTTTTAATTAGTGCAGTTTTGCTATATAGCCTATTGATTTAACTTGGGTCACAACAGGTCAGAGACCTGATAAGAGACTTTCCTTCAATGTTGAATACTGTTTTCTCTATATGAATATTTTTTTATCTGTACAACTGACAGATTATAGCTTTTTTTTTTTTTTTAAGACATGTAATACTGTAATCAACCTGCTTTAGGCAAGAACATTACTTGGATGTGTTTTTCTGTGAATATCTTAGATATTTTTTGGAATAACTTGCATTCTTCCATCATTTTGACACTAGTGGTAAGCAATTTATTCGTGGGTTCTTTATATGCTCAATATTTGGATCCAGTCGGGATGCTTACTCTTCTCCTTTTCAAAAAGGCATTATAGAAAGTCACATATTTCACTTAATTTCAGTCACTACCTAGCATCCATCTGAAATGACAGCTTGGAGAATAGGCAGTAAGTTCACTCCTGGATTTTGTCTAAGCTAACATATACTATTAGCCATTCATACCGTTACAATCCTAGCAGAACTTCAAGAGTAGTAGAATTATTTAAACAAAGTTTACTACTTACAGCTTAAAACCAGCATGTTATGTTTAGCTGTTTGTAAAGTAAAGTTAGAGGACACAGATTAAGTACCTCACTGCTCTCACACAGCTGTAACAGCAAGAAACTCTGGGCAGAAAAGAATACTGTTAGACATCCTAGAAAGCAAACAGCATTGCTCCTGTAGCCTGTACACTGCCCCAACAAATCAAAAACCTGTGACAGATGGTTGTGAGTGCTCTGCTGCTAACCTGGACTCATTCAAGCTTTCAGAAGTAGTTTTCTGACACAATCCACCCTGGAAGTCATTCCTGCATCAAATCAGATCACAAGCAATATCTGACTGTACCTTGTATGGTCACTGTATCCACTCCAAGAAGAGCTACCACAGGTTTCGGCAATTAGCAACCAAAATACCTGGCCTGAGAGTGCATGAAGACACTGTTAGTGAGATATACAGGGAAAGACTGCAGAGTCCTCCCAGAACCTTGTTTTTACAAGATTTGCATGGCACCACAGTAGAACTAGTTAACAGCTAGAGTTCGACTATCACCTAGTTTTATCCTGATTTGCAATGCAGGAGTGTGTTGTTCATCTTAGAGGCAAGATGAACATTGAAACCTAGTCAAGATAGGGGGGTTGCTGGATACAAACTACTTTGAGATTGTAAAGACAATCTATCTGGTGCTTAAAATTTCAGGAAGAAACAATAGTGGTTTTGATTTTGTTTCTGTGGATCCCCATCTCCCTATCCCTTCGTTGTGAAGTCAAACTTTGTGCCTAAAATATTTTCTGTTAGTTCAAGCATGAACTTTTGCTTTTTGAATTCATTTACAGTTTCCAACTAGCTATGAGCAACTGACTGTCTCAGGAAAGTCAGTTACTATTTTTGCTCAGCTTTCACCTTTAAAACCACAAACATGGGAAAGCAGAAGCGTTGTTAAAGAAAAAGTACTCTTAAGCTTAGCTCATTTGCTAATCAGAGTGGACTGTTTAAATATACTGCTTCAGTTTTCTGAAGGCAGAGAAAGATTAACAAAGCCACTTACATATAACATACTAGGTTCTGATCCTTCTAAGTTCACTCCTGACCTAAATATAGTTCATAGTTACTTAAAAGAACCAAGTCAGAGGGTACTCAAACACTATTTCCCCATCTCAAAGGCTTAGGGAACTCTGAGAGCATGAGGTTGTTGCAGGTCTTCACTTGTAGCGCTGTTTGTGGATTACACAGATCCAGAGTTATTTTCTGTGTGGCATTTAGAAATGGTGTATATTTTTAACCAATCTACATTAGCTTAAACTGCTGTAGAAGTCCCATTCCTTGTGTCAGAAGTTATATTTCTTCTTGCTTTGAAAGCTCTATGTCATTTTGATAACACCAGATTTGCTTTAAAATGATGTAGCTTACTGCAGTTTCTTTTTTTAAAAATCAAGACTGGCAAATTCAAAGTAACTGACATTTTCACTAATCATTTCAAAGTCTAGAAGTCAAATCCATTTATAGTTCATTTAATGATCATCTAATCCAGGCTTGTATTCCTTTAAGACTGTAAGAATAGGCTACAATATAGAAAGTTGCAGTACAATAATAGAGAGCTATTCCAATAAGAGGTTCTGAACAGGTGGGACCACCCTCCCTACCTTCCCTCCCCCTCCCCCCAAAAAAAAGCTATTCACATTTTAATTTTACCTCTTGCCATGTTTACATGTATTTTGAATAAACAGCTAAAAAGTTCTTGCTCTGTTCTGGCTCAGTGAATCTTCAATGCAGATATTCAAGTATTAAGAAAATGCAGCTGAACAAGGATATGTGTCCTCATAGTACAGTTTACAGAGAAGCACAATATTAACTATTTTGCAATATATTCTACCAAAAAACCCAGAGGAAAACCTTTTAACTTTGGGATCTGTAGCCTGCTTCCAGAGCTGGTGAAGATCATCTACGTGTCCATGAGATGTCATCATTTTGTTATAAATGCAGGGATGATACGGAGCCTTTCCTTCCCCAGAAAAAAATACATGATATTGTGGTACAATTCCCATTTTATTGGCACAGAGACCCATGAAAACATCGTCTATATAAAGACTTGTATTAAGAGTCTGTGAAGCCTCATATACTTTAGCTGCTACATCATTTGATATTACATAGGCAGCTCCAGCTGTGTAGTCAGGATAAGAGGGCCACTGATACATTTCATATGGCACATAGTATTTGCTAGTCTTGTCTCTTACGGGAGGGGATCCACGATGGACACGGCCAATCCAGAGATCTTGAACACCCATCTGTGCTAGACTTTGGAGATAAGCAACAAGATTTGGCATATGGATAAATATGTCATCATCTGCAGACATAATGAACTTGGCATGAGGACAGTAAGCATTCACCCAGCTAAACTGTAAAAGTAATTTAAGAGTAAGATTGTGAAAAGTATCCAAGAAGTCTTGCTGAATCAAGTCATTGTATTTCTGGTCTTCCAGCTGAAGTTTTTTTTGCAACTGTGCTCGCTGCGGATGATCTGCTGGTCGTCCCAAAGCAAAAACAGTTTTTATGGTGGCATTAAGTTGAGAACGAACATACTTCTCATTACCCCAAGTGTGTCGAATTGCATCCCTCCGATGGCGGTTTTCAGGGGAAGTCTTCACAAACAACAGGAGGAGGACGTCCTGCTGCTGACACTTCTCCTTGTGGTTGATCAAGTACTGGTAGCTCGCTACTCTGTCCAAGTTATCCCTGTTGACAGACAGGCTGTTGTTCACAAAATTGTAGCTATTTATGAGGTATCTGTATGAATAGGACTTCATATGGCTCACAATGTGATTATCAAATGGTCCCCAAAAAATCATGAGACACAGTATGAAACAAGTGGCAAATATCTGCAAAAACTGGCATTTTCTGACTCTCCTGGGACTAACAAACATTCTGATGCAGTTGCTACAATCCTAATTCCCGTTCAGGATCAGTGTTTAGAGTGTTCGTGTTTTCACTTCGGAGCACAAAGTCACCCCGTCACGATAAGCGTCCATTGTAAGGCACGTCGTCTTTCATTCGGTACCCTTGTGAATTCGGCTGTGCTGACAGATTTCGCAAGTCATCTTCCTCAAGAACGTTCTCCTCGGAGTGAAAGCACACAGGCAGTTTTGAAGGACGAGGCTTGCAGAAGAGCCTTCTTCCTCTGCAGCATCTTGACGCGAACGCTTCCCACCAGAGATCTCACGCGCCCCCTTCCTTCATGGCGAAGGACGCCTACCAATTTTAAGGGTGAGGGGGAAGAGAAATTTTTAGCGAGCTGCCATTAACTCATCTGGTTTTATGTTTTGTCAGGGAGCCGAGTTGAGCATTGAGCTACTCCCCACCCACCTACACCCCTGAGTTGAGCATTGAGCTACTCCCCACCCACCTACACCCCCCCCTCCAAAAAAGCTGCCAGCAAATTAGACGTTGCCAGTGGCACAAAGCAAGCTTGACAGAGGCGAGTGAGGGGGAACTTTGCTTCCCTTATGACACGAAGCTACTTAGGAAAACCCGAAGCTACTTAGGAAAACCCGCGGTAGTTGAACAGCGGAAGGCCCCCCTCCCCCGCCCAAGCTCTCAGCCGAGGGGCCCTGAGCTGCCTGGAAGGCGACGAGCAGGGCT